AGGGGAATCGAACCCCTGATCTGAACGTGTTGGATAACAGTGAAGCAATGTTGAAAATAGTTTGGTTAAAGTATGGGGATTTTGCGCATGCGTGGTTCCCGTCATATACAAGGGTTTCAGTTTTATTCAATGGTTTAAGCATCCCACTACAGAAATAATGACAGCATCAACTCTACGACTACCAGTATGTTTATCAAAAATATTTATCATAAAACGACTGACAGTAAAATTAAAACGTAAAAACATAAAAATATTCTACCATGTCTGCGTTCATGATAGTTCATGGTTGTTTACACACTAATGAATTATTATAAGTGTAGTTATAGTTTTTAGTTTCTTTTTTCTAATTTCTGAAAGGAATGACACTCGTATACACTAAATAATATATATAAACTAACTTAGGCATACATTATTGACAATGGTAGGTTTAAACAGACACCAACATGATTAACCTTAAAATCATAAATAATATTCAACGTTAAACTGGTACACAATTAAAAACATTTTATTTAGGCCTATCTATGGCCTTCAAAAAGTTGACGACTCTACATGTTTCGACGTTACAACGTCATCCCTCGTAAGGATATATTTATATATTTCAGCATTTTTTTTCCATTCAAACCCTTACCTCGTGGAAAAGAAATGTTTGATCGTCTAATATTGACGCTCATGTAATTACACATGTCTTCCTCACAGCAGAGAAGTTTGGAAAATATTTGTTTGGAAACGTTGGCATGGCGGGAAAGTTGATTGCATAAAGCTCTACTTCTATCCTTGAGAAATTCTAGACAGCCATGACTCGCCCTGGACTGGCCATTACTGTATGTAGATTGCCGGTATTCAGAGAAGCATGAGCCTAAGCCTGACTTGCACATATAACCAGTGTTTATGCAGATTGGGAAATTGCAGTAACATCTTATCTCACCTGAAAATGGAGAAAAAGAAAATCACGTAACTATAATATTTTTAAACCTATATTAAATATTCACAGAGTTTCAATGGAAAAAAACTTTCATAAATAGTATTTATCTGTAGCAAACACACGTTTTTAATTTATTGGAATAATGAATAAATTCATGTGTGTTTGTGTGTATACACTAAAACCTTCCTTACCGTTAAAACTTTTGTGCTTGGGAATGATCGAAACGTCGTACCTGTTCTAAAAAGTAATTTTCCTTACTATAAAAGCTGTAACTTGTAATAAAATAATACATAATTAGTAAGTAGGATCAAAACGAAACTATTAATATATATACTCAATTGCGTAACTTTGGCGAATTTGCAAGATGTCCCAACAATCATACATTAGATATTTTTCACACATTCTGCGAAAGAATTACGTTTGTAACTTATACATGAAATACGTAAAATGACATAAACAAAAAAAACTTAATAAGCAGAACTGACCATAGTAGCTCTGTTTAAGAGTATGCTAGTGACGTAGTTTCCGGTACTCGAAATTAATACAAATACAGGGGTGATTGTAACAGAAACAGAGTATTGAAGCGAAAATTGTAAAAAAAAATAATAAATAAATACATAAATGAAATACTAGTATAAGAAGCAACGATATGTAGGGCTGAGAGAAATGGACAGTCGACGGACACTAACTCGGACATAGGTCAACAAGATCATAAAGTTAAGAAATACAAATGTAAAGAACAGTACAAAAAACAGAACTGTGAGAGATTAATAGACAACGAATGACAGTAACTCTGACACAAAACAATGGGTGTCAAGGCTACATAAAATTAACATAGATAGCAAAGATCATATATGTGATCTCGTCTTGATGAGAAATGACATGACAGAAATGAAAAAAATATATAATGATTAATCGCTGAATCAGATGAAACAACAAGGGTCAATAATAAATAAACATTCAACGGAGAGAGAAGCATGACGAGGACACGACAGAAAACTGGATAAAGTGAAATGTGGGTGCCACTAATACTGACACTGAGGGAGAGACTAATGTATTTTAGAGAATGAAAATTTGTATAAGAATAAAATAGTCTTCGAAAGTTCCCAAACTTTTAGTCTTTTGTTTTAAACAGTTTATTACGTTTTTGTGAGACTAAATTGCCATTTCTTATCAAAAAACAAGGTAGAAGCACGAATCAAGTTAAAATAATACCACTGCTTGATGTGACAAGATGAATTGTGATGTTACAAAGACAGTGGCTCAGCGATAAATCTGCTGGCTTACGACGCTAAAAATTGGGTTTCGATACCCGTAGTGTACAGAACACAGATAATCCACTGTGTAGATTTGTGTCTCGTATCCACAAGACCAAACGCTGGAATTATTACTGGTAATTGAAAGAGACTGAAAGATCAAAAGACAAGAACATATAATAGAAGAAAATCTATGCTACGTCATTTCAGAAAAATTTTCCAATCAAAACTGGTAACAAGAAAAAATTTCTAAAGAAGTGTTAGTAAGATGTTGGTTAATTGATACACTTATTTATAACACGTTGTTACTGATTTACTTCACTCTCAGATTTCTTGAGTACTGGCGTCGTTGTAACGATATAAGCCTGTTTGTTTGTTGTTAAAGTGCAAAGCAATACAGTGGGCTATCTGTGCTGTGTCCACCACGAATATCGAAACCCGGGTTTTTGCGTTATAAGCCTTCAGACTTATCATTCAGCCACTGAGGGGTATATAAGATACAATTTGTTCTTCACAACCTACTATATTTAAAATATTCAAGAACCAGAAATAAATATTTATTTTTCAGTGATCTTTCACATTTCTTTAAAATTCTATAGTGTTACAGAAAATTGAATTTCAGTGAAAGTCTGAGAGAAGCCGAGTAAGAAAAATCAGTCTTGGGTTATCTGATGAACAGGAGAACTTTTCTGTAACAAGTAAAGGTATAACAGTCAGTGGATAGGATATCTTAATGATTGAGGGTAATGTGGACAGACAATTTTATATATTATTATTTATAATAATCAGTGAATAATATATTTTACTTATTCAAGGTAAAATAATGTGGGAAGGATATTTGAAAATATACTAGAAGTTGGACAGATAATTTTACTCACTGAAGCTATAATAGTGGTGAATAGGATAATTTACTCATTGAAGGTATAGTAATGTGGACAGAAAATTTTACTCAAGTATAATAATGTGGACAGAAAATTTTATTCAAGTATAATAATGTGGACAGAAAATTTTACTCAAGTATAATAATGTGGACAGAAAATTTTCCTCAAGTATAATAATGTGAACAGAAAATTTTACTCAAGTATAATAATGTGGACAAACAATTTTCCTCAAGTATAATAATGTGGACAGAAAATTTTCCTCAAGTATAATAATCTGGACAGAAAATTTTACTCAAGTATAATAATGTGGACAAACAATTTTACTCAAGTATAGTAATGTGGACAGACAATTTTACTCAAGTATAGTAATGTGGACAGACAATTTTACTCAAGTATAATA